TACGCGCGACAGGACAGGGGGGGGGGCGCGGGTCAACGAAAATCGACGCCCCTAAGGTCGCATTCGGGCAGGAACATGGAAGGTTTTAACGGTGGGCCCTTGAAAAAATCGTCCTAGGCTAGGAACGTCCTAGCTCTTAATACCATGTTGAGAGAACTAGGAAGGTATGGATGAGATTAGGTCAAGGTGGGGTACAAGAAGAATGTCGAGGAAAATACTGTACCCCCTAGTGCTAACCCACTACAGCCTACAAATGTACAACCCCTATATAATTTGACAGTAATGGATATCACGATAGTAGGAGCAACAGAGGAACCGAGCGATCTTCATAAATTGTTGACAACCGTACCACCCGAAATACAGGAACTAATGAAACGGTGCCTTGGGATTTTTCCTGACGACTTACTGAAGAGACTCCCACCTCAGCAAGCAGATGACCATCGCATAGTGTTAGAGCCGGGGGCACAGCCAGTCGTACAGCGACAGTTCTGGCTAATGCAGCCCGAACTTGACGAAATGAGGAAGCAACTAGATTACCGATTGGAAAAAATGTTAATCCGCCGAGTTCATCACCGTTCGCCGCACCAATACTGTTTACACCGGAAAAAATACTCAGGTTTTTGCATGTGCATCGCCTACCACGCACTGCACAGGGTAACTGTAAAGTCGCAATACCCCATCCCACGCGCGGACGAACTGACCGATCAAGTTCGAACAGCTAGAGTGTTTTCGAAAATTGACTTACGCGGCGGTTACCACCAGATTCGAGTCGAACCGACAGACTGTGCCAAGACAACTTAAAAAACTAGATACGGGTCCTTTGAATACACAGTCATGCCGTTCGGGCTGTCCAACGCGCTCGCGACATTTCAATTGACAATGAACGAGGCATTTAGGCCGCTCTTAGGTACATGCGTCATAGTTCATCTCGACGACATTTTAGTTTACTGCCGGGACAAGCAGCAGCACTTAGAAGATCTAGAAGCAACAAAGTTTAGACAAGCATCGGCTACTGACCAAGGGTTCGAAGTGCGAGTTTTTTCAGGACAGGCTAGAGTTTCCGGGGCACGTCATTTCGGAAGCTGGGGTTTAATTAGACTAGAAAAAAACTGGATACCATGAAGGCATGGCACCCCCCGACAAACATCACGGAGCTGCAAAGTTTTTTAGGGTTCGTTAATTATGTGCGTCGGTTCGTCCTCAACGTGGCACGGTTAACTGCATCGCTGACGGCTTTACTGCGGAAGGGGGTCGCGTTTACGTGGGGGGAGAAAGAGCATGCTACCTTCTCTGCCCTGAGAGATGTTCTATGTTCACCACCCATTCTACGCATTGCCGAACCACGCCGCCCATTCGAAGTAATTACCAACGCCAGCGACATCGCCATTGGAGCCATACTGCTACAGGACTTCGACAACAGCCTACAGCCCATCGCATACGAGTCATGAAAGTTGCACCTGCTCGCCAAAAATTTCCCGATACATGACCGCAAAATGCTCGCGATCGTGCACGCATTCAAAGTGTGGCGCTGTTACTTGACTGGCGCGGACGTGACACTACGGACGGGCCATCGATCTCTACAGTACCTCCGCGCACAGCCCCACCTCAACCCACCACGGATTCCTCGAGCCCAATCTCCACTACACGGCCACCTACAAAAAGGGAGCCTCAAACATCGCTGACGAACTGACCCACCCGACTGCCCAAATACACGCGATACTACTTGCACAAACCAGCCCGCTTTTCACAGGCCTATTTACCCACAGATATTAGACCGACCTGTTCTTCACAAGAGGAAAGTTGTAGCAGTTCGCAGTAGCAAAGGGGATTTATTACGTAAAAGTCGGCACCGACCGCATCTGGGTACCGGGATATACGTAACTATGGGAATAACTGTTACACGAGGCACATGACGGAGTTACATGATGACATTCCAGGGTCGAAAAAACACGGCAGCAGCTGCAACGATACTACTATTGGCTCGAGATGCTGATTAACGTGCAACGACACGTACCATCGTGCCCCACCTACCAGCTCATGAAGTCGTCACGACAACGACCGGCAGGCCAGTTGAAGTCGATACCACCCCCAGAGCGTGCTTGGCAGCAGGAGATGATGGACTTCATCACGGGGTTACCGACTAGAGCGGATGGGAACGACGCGATACTGGTCGTCGTCGATCGGCTGGCGGAAATGGCACATTTCACAGACTGCAAGAAATCAATCTCGGCCGAACAAACAGCTCGACTCTTCATCTCTACCGTCGTTCAAATACACGGGATATCTGCGACGATCATCAGCGATCGCAGTACCAGATTCACCAACAACTTCTGGAGGAACTTGTGGCAGCAGTTCGGCATGCGACTACAGTTCAGCTCATCATACCACCCCGAAACCGACGGTCAAACGCAACAGACCAATTAGACCATGTAGCTGTTATTTGGAGCCACGTGCGACGACCGGGCAACATGGGAACAACAACTGCCACTCATCGAGTTTGCATAGAACAATACTACGTCAGCCACGACGCAGCAATCACCGTTTTACCTCAACTACTGACAAAACCCTACAGTACCCATGGCGCCGAACCCCGACAACAGTTCGTTGAAATCTTACAGGCATCCCGGACTTGAGCAGCAGACGCCTTAAAAAAATCAAAAGTCATCGCTATACGCAACGCCGATCGCCACCGCCGCCCCGTAACTTACCAGCCCGACGACCTTGTACGGCTCGACACCCAGAAACTTAGCCTGCCCATAGCCCCAAAACTCTGCCCCCAATAACGCCCGTCACCGCCCACCTCCTCATTCCTGCCGACTGGTACGTCAGCCCATCCTTCCACGTCAGCCTCCTCCGCCCCTACGTCCCATCGACAAGCCAATTACCACGCAGCCGGCCGTCCAGCATGACATGACCACCTACCGTATTCTCCCGGACAGAACACCCTAGGTTATAGCTAAAAATTCAGGGAAAAAATGGGGGGGGGGGGTGGTCTCCTCATAGGAAAAAGCTACACAATACTCGGGTGGATATACATGGCATGTTTTAGTGTTAGAGTTTTTTTAATTAGACAACGTGGGTGTTTTGGTGGTCGTTTTTAGCATCACTGTCTGAGGCGCGAATATAAGTTTCGGCAACGAACTTCATCACCCCCTCGAAAATGTCATGTGGCACCTCTCTGGCCACTTGCAGCAGAAGATTCACCAGCGCGTGGTGACAGCGAAATAGTGGGAGGGGGGAAATCTCGGCAGTTTGTAAGTGAAAGTACCGTACCGCGAAATTCCATCAAGAGAGAGATTCTCGCGATATCCTTCCGTACTGCACCTACTCGTTAACAAATATAATAAGGAATTCGTAAGAAAAGGGGGGTGTTATAGAAAATCACCCAAAAAGGGGGTTATAGCACAAACGAGGTCGCCTATAGCACCCACCCCGCACAAGCTACCCGGGGGGCGTACAATTTCGGCGGGTATTCTGTCCGGGAGAATACAAAACTGAGCCTGTCATCACCCCTAAAAAAAAAATGAGCCACCGAGTTCGTGACCCACGTGGAGCCCGCAGGATCGAGTTCCTAATTCGTTGGAAAAACCGCACCCCCACAGAAGACAACTGAGTGCCCCTGGATAAAATCGAAAACCACCCCGTCCTCACCGAGTATCTGCGCAGCCGAAATTTCCGGATGTACACATACTTTCGCAAAGGAGCCTCCTTGGGGAGGGGGGTAGTGTAAGGAAAACTAATTTTCCTTACTTCGCCCCCTTGCTTACCGTGTACATGACTGTTCCCGCCAACAGCACCCTACAGCAAAACGTTACCATTCGCGACACTTGTATCAACAACTGTTCCCGCCACTGTTCACATCGCGACCCAACCTCATGGTTCGGTTGGTAACTCGCGCTCCGGCCCTCCGCCTCGACAATTCCTAACCTCGGCACCAGGCCCGTCGCGCACCACATTCTCGCACACTACCGTTACCACGATAGCTTTCGCTTTGTAATGCTTCGCTCATGCCTTCGCTCATTGCACTCTTGCTTCGACAGTGCAATCTTCGTTCGCTCACGCAATTGCACTGGTAACATTTTTCTTCACATGAGGATTTGTGAAAAAAAAAGGATGGTGAAATGCTTAAAAAAAAAAAATCATCTTTCACGATTAAATCATTCACAAACAGGTCATTGTTAATAACCACTACGTACAAGAAATCAAGTGTGTTGTCAACGGACGGATGAGAAGCTGAGGGTACATTCCGCTCAGGACACTTTCTCATAGAAAGTGTCCGAATCACTTTTTGCCCGAGTCGCCCTTAAATGTCTCGGATCCTCATGTCCTAATCAATAAATGTACTGCGACCATGCACGACCGCGCGACAATTATACGAGAAGGGCTGTGATTGGCCCTTCGCGTGAGTGGACCACTCATTGTGACAAGGTTGGGGAAAGTGTATTGGGTCACGGCGGGAGATATGCGAGGAAGCCCTGATTGACCAATCACGCTTCAGGGCGGGTCCAGCGCGTACGTTTACAGTTCATCCTGTGCGGTTGACCTTGTTGCGTCACGGTTAAAAATGGTGGAAACTGCAAATCGCTTTGAACCATTTGATATCGTGTTGCGCCATGAGTCATGAACTGTAAACGAACCGTAAACGTACGCGCTGGACACGCCCTCAGTGTACGCGCTGGATGGGAAAAAACGAACAGCAAAATCATGACCAGGTACATGCAGAGGGGATAGACATTTGGAACCGCGTGCGATGGCAGGTCATTGTCACGCTGGTGTTCAATTAGCCCGCGACAGTTCCGTGGTTCACGCCAGCCAATAAAAAAAACGGTTTGATGCTTAGCGACACATGGCAGCATATGCTGTAAGTACGCGTCACAATCGATTCGGACACTTTCTTTGAGAAAGTGTCCACAGCGGAATGTACCCTGAGACGAAACACTCGAGACAAAAAAAAACCAAAAGCTAGTTAAACATAACTGCACTGTGCCTACAAGTTACAACTATCTCATCCCAAAGCACTGCACATGGAACGCATCTGGGCAATGGGGCGCTAGGCACCGCCACGACAGCCCAACCCCGTACGACCGGCAACCAGAGCACGTGAACCCCTGCTGCTGCTGCATCAGCTTCACCCTGTGATTGGTCCACCTGTCCACCGCTTCCACTGCAGCGAGGGAAGCTTCTAACGCCCGCATGTCGCTCATCAGCTTGTCCACCTGCTGCTGCAGCCGGTTTGTTGCGTCGGTCCATGCGGCCTGCATGCACACGAAGCACAGAGCAGACGTGGAGGGGGGGAGGGGGGAATGGGGGGAGAAAAGGGGGAGAAATGGGGAAATAAAGGGGAGAATGGGAGGGGACGGGGAACGGGGGAAGCGGGAGGAAGGGGGGTTGGGTGGTGGAGGGTTTTGGGAGGGGAAGTGTGTGGGGGGGAGGTAACAGTGTGTGGAGAAGGGAGGAGAGGTGGAGGGAGAGGAAGACGAGGAAATGCTGGAGAAATCCTGGAGGGTAGAAGCAACCGATGAAGTATAGACTGAATGATGAGAGGAAGAAGCCATGCAGATGAGGACTTTTGAGAATTCTCAAAAGTGATTTCAACAGATCCTCGAGGGTAGAAGCAGCAACCGATGAAGTATAGATTGAATGAAGAGGAAGAAGCCATCCAGATGAGGGGACAAGGGAATTGGTTGATGCGTGGTGAAGGAATCTCAACTCTCCCTTTCCCCACCGATACTTCTCCACATCTTTCCCTTCCCCTCTCTCTCTCAAACTCCCTCCCTGCTCCCCGCTGTCCGCTCACTGCTTCTTCCCATATCTCCGCCCCTTCGTCACTCTTGCGCAAGGCTCTGTGAATGATCGTACCACATCAGTTGATATCCGCGATTGCAGCTGCTGCTGCTGGGCCACTGCGGCCCTCGCCTGATGCAATGTGGTGAGGGAGAGAGCACGCGCAGTGGGGGAGTGAGGGCGGAAAAGATGGAGGGAGGGAGGGGAGAAGTGAGGGTAGAGGGAGGGAAGAGGAAGAGGGACACAGGGAGGGAGGGGGGGGGGGGGGGGGGGGGGTGGGAGGGGGTGAGAGGGGGAGATAGAAACAGAGGGGTGGATGGAGTGAGAGTGTGAAAGAGAAGAGAGGCAATATATTGACAGGTAAGACTACAAGTGGTACCCTCCCAACCTAGGAGTCGAATTGAAACTGATGGGCACTAGCAGAGCAGCAGGCAGGGGCAACAGCTATGGGAACTAATGCCTGTAGATGCCCAAACCAAACCACTGATGCTACGGGTTGCACCCAAAGATCAGTCCTACACTCCAACCAACCGCTCTTCCACAGCCTAACTGATGCTCAGCCTCAAGACCACGTGCACGTCACGGTTGACTTGGCACGGTCAACCGACCAGGCTACCCTTTACAGTCAACCTCCCTTCCCGTACCAATTAGGCCCTCCCCTAGCAACCCCGCCTCCTCACCTTGCTCTGCTCTGCTTCAGCCGCCTCTTTCAGCCTCTTCACCTCCTCTAATGCCCGCTGGTGCTTCTCCTGCACCGTTGCCTGCAGTGGGGGGAGTAGGGTACATACACAGAGCCATAATCCGCAGTTGCTTATGAGTCGACTCGACACTCATCCACCAGTGAGCAACAGGACAGAAAAGGGGCGGAGCATCGCAAGTGGCATGTTGCTGCGGTGCAGCAAGTGCAGACAGCTAATGCTTGGTGGTGCTTCTTTGATGTGATGCAATAATGAGATGAGATGAGATGATATCGGATGAGACAAGATGTCATGTCATGTCATGAGATGTGACGAGATGTGACGAGATGTGTGGGATGTGACGAAATCTGATGTGATGTGATGTGATGTGATGTGATGTGATGTGATGTGATGTGATGTGACGTGATGTGATGTGATGACATGTGTTGAGGCGTGATAAGATGTGATGAGATGTGTTGAGATGAGATGAGATGTGTTGACATGTGTTGACAGGTGTTGTAATCTGTTCAATTGTGATGTGATGTGATGTGATGTGATGCGATGTGATGTGATAAGAGGTGGTCCATACCAGCTGAACCTTCATCTCAGCAATCTGCTTCTTCTCTGCCTCGCTGCTGCTGACGTTGTGCCTTGATGCCACTGCAGCCTGAGCAGCCTTCTGTCAGATGCAAGGCAGGCAGGCAACACAATGGGGAGAGAGTTAGAAACGAGTGAAAGTGGCTATTGCAGTGAGTACTGAGGATAGGTGTGTGCGCATGTCTACGCAAGCATTCATGACCCTACGATTCTGTTTGTTTCTTTGTTTGATTGTTTGTTTGTTGGTTATTTTTCTGTTATTATTACTATTATTATTATTATTATTATTATTATTATTGTTATTGTTATTATTGTTATTATTATTGTTATTATTATTGTTATTGTTATTATTATTATTATTATTATTATCGTTTATTTTCTAATAAAAACGTGTGCATGTGCACAATACGCACCGCCAGTTGTGCGCGCAGGTAATCGATCTCCTCCTGAGCCTTGGCAACTTGGGCCTTGGAGGTGGAGGATGTCTGAAGTAGAACATACACACAAGCAAGCGCACACACACATTCACACACGCACATACACATGCGACAAGGGGTGCACATGCAGAGGGCAGGGAGAACCATAATTTTGGAGCGCTTGGAAAACTCATCAGCGCAAACAAACAAACAAACAAACAAGCAAGCAAAAAACACGCAAGCAAACACGCAGCGAGGGCCACACATGCAGAGGACAGGGAACGCACCAGGACCGGGGCACTTCAATCAAACATGCGTGCAACGGAGGAGCACGCGCAGCAGGCCTAGAAGAACCACGGCTGGGGCTCGACCATTGGTTTAGGCAGCCGTCTGGGCTCGAGATTTGAGTCAGTAAGCAAGAAAGGATGGCTTCCCAAAAAAAAAGAGAAAAAAAGACCGAAAATACAAGATTCCGACCGCCTAGTGCTCATCGGCCTTCCCAGTCCCTTCCGTCACCCCTCTTCTCCCCCCCCTCAGCTCCCTCCAATCTCCCCCCTCTCCCATCTCCCCTAAACTGTCCCTGCCCCCACCCCCCCATCCCCACTCCTCACCTTCCCCCCCCCCTCTTCCCGCTCTTCCCTCTCTCCCCTCTCTTCCCCCTCTTCCCCCTCTTTCCCCCTCTTCCCCCCCCCATTCCCTCTCCCCCCTTCCTGCATGCACCTCAGCAGCGAAGCTCTGCAGGTGGGGGATGTTATTCTGTTGTTCCGCCACCTTCCTCTCTAGCTCCGCGCGCTGCTGCTCCGCATCCACGCCCCTTTTCCCCCTGTGCACACCTCGGCAGCGAAAGACTGCAGGTGGCGGATGTTGCTCTGCTGCTCCGCCACCTTCCTCTCTAGCTCTGCACGCTGCTGCTCTGCATTCACGCCCCTTCCCCCCCCCCACATGCCCCCTTTTCCCCACACCTCACCCCTTTTCCCCCTGCGCACCTCAGCAGCAAAGCTCTGCAGGTGGCGGATGTTGCTCTGCTGCTCCGCCACCTTCCTCTCTAGCTCCGCGCGCTGCTGCTCTGCCTGCCGCTGCTCCTCCTGCATCGCCGCCACTTTCACTGCCAGCACCTCCGCCTTGTCCTGCGCCTGTGGAATATATAGGGTATGACAGGAGTAGGGCGCAAGAGCAAAAACGGTAGCTTGAGTTGAGCTAAGTTTACTTGCGTCACTGCCAGCACCTCCGCCTAGTCCTGCGCCTGTGGAATGAGAGAGGCACAGGCACATGAAGGAACAAGAGAAAACGATGAGAATCCTCCAAAAAAAGGCACATGAAGGGACAGCGCCGCCACCTTCACTGCCAGCACCTCCGCCTTGTCCTGTGCCTGTGGGGCGGAGAGGGGAGAGAGGCGTGTGAGGGGGGAGAGGCGTGTGAGGGGAGAGGAGCATGTGAGAGGAGAGGAGCATGTGAGGGGGGAGGGGCATAGCAAGTGTAGCTTGATCCATGTTCTTGCCTTCACTGCCAGCATCTCCAAGCTACACTTGTCCTGCCTGAGGGGAGAGGGGCATAGACGCAGCAGCAAGAGTAACTTAATTCGACTCCTTGCCTTCACACCCAGCAGCATGGGGAGGGGCATATGGGGGGAGATCATGGGGGGAGCTATGTGAATTTTACTTTTGAGAATTCTCAGGGGGAGCGCATAGGGGGAGCTCATGGGGGTAGTTCATGGGGGGAGCGCATAGGGGGAGTTCATGGGGGTAGTTCATGGGGGGAGCGCATAGGGGGAGCTCATGGGGGTAGTTCATGGGGGGAGCGCATAGGTGGAGCTCATGGGGGTAGTTCATGGGGGGAGCGCATAGGTGGAGCTCATGGGGGTAGTTCATGGGGGGAGCGCATAGGGGGAGCTCATGGGGGTAGTTCATGGGGGGAGCGCATAGGGGGAGCTCATGGGGGTAGTTCATGGGGGGAGCGCATGGGACCACCTTGCTTTGATTGGTCATTTCCCTGTGGCAGCTAGCTGACAGGGCCAGCAGCAGGGAAGGGCACATTCTCAGCAGTGATAGAGCAGCAGATCAACTGCGACCTTGCTTGCTTGTTTGCATGCTGTGAGTGTGTGTACATGTTTCTCGAACTGACGGGGTTTCTGTGTGTAAGTGTGTGTGTGTGCGTGTGTGTGTGTGTGTGTGTGTGTGTGTGTGTGTGTGTGTGTGTGTGTGTGTGGAGATAAAAGGGAGTGGGAGGTGGGTGTGGGTGTGCGAGTGTGTGGTATTCGTTCTCTTTTGTGTTTTGCTTCTTACTTCTGATATATTGTTACTTTAGCACATCCCATATTGAGTAACGAACAATGCAGGCCTACAAGCCCCTCTAGCCATGCACGTGATAAACAGCATAGATTGGCGAGCAAAGCAAAGCAGCACTAGACGACACGTCTGAAGGCGCACATTTCATTTCAAGGTGCAGCTCCTCCTGATGATAGTAACTCACTTCACTTCACTTGACATGCTTCACTTCAGCAGCACCACTCTCAGCTGCTGCTTTCCTTTCCGCCCCCCAGCCCCACTGTCGTTTCACACTCACCTGCTGCCGCAGCTCCTGCTCCTTCAGCAGCACCTCCTTCCCCACGCTCCCCTGTGCCTGCATGAATGATCAGTGTCATTACCACACCACACACGACATGACAGCAATTATAATGGGCCAAACAGCATATAACGGAGGGACAGTAAGTAAGCAGGAGAGCAGGAAATCTGCTGCTGAGAGTTTGCTAGGACATTCACACCACATTTGCAGATTCCACAATAACTAAAGGGTATTTATACAAACCTTCTGGTCCTAATCCCTTACTTCCTCAGTGAACACTTTTGTTCCGACCCATTCTCCCTCCCTCCCTCCCATCCTTCCTTCCTCCCATTAACCCCTCCCATTCTTCCCCTCCCATTCTTCCCCTCCCTCGTTCCCTCCCTCCCTCCCTCCCTCCCTCCCTCCCTCCCTCCCTCCCTCCCTCCCTCCCTCCCTCCCTCCCTCCCTCCCTCCCTCCCTCCCTCCCTCCCTCCCTCCCTCCCTCCCTCCCTCCCTCCCTCCCTCCCTCCCTCCCTCCCCCTCCCTCCCTCCCTCCCTCCCTCCCTCCCTCCCTCCCTCCCTCCCTCCCTCCCTCCCTCCCTCCCTCCCTCCCTCCCTCCCTCCCTCCCTCCCTCCCTCCCTCCCTCCCCAAGCTCTCACCGCCAGTGCAGCAGCCTTCTTCGCACCTTCCAACTCCACCTGCAACCCCCCCGCCTTGCCCTTCCACTCCTCCACCTCAACTCTCATCCCCTCCAGCTGTCCTCTTAGCTTCTCCGCCTCCTCCTCCACCTCCACCGCAACATCTATCAGCTCCTGCTCCTTCGCCAGCCACTCCGCCTCCTTCCTCCTCCACTCCTGCTGCTCCCTCTCCCTCCCGAACGACGGTGCTTTGTTCAGCAGCGCGTTCCTCTCCTGCTCCCTCTCGGCTTTCACCCTCTCTAGTTCCCTCCGGACCCCATCAGCCTCTGCCCGCGCTTTCCGCACCTCCTTTTCTTTCTCCAGCAGCTTCTGCTCCCATTCAGCCTTTTTCTCCTCCCATTCCGCGCCCTGCTGCTGCGCCTGCTGCTCTGCCTGCTGCTGCAGTTGCTTCAGCTGCTGCAGCTCCGCCTGTGCTTGCTTCAGCTCCTCTTCTCTCCCCTCGCTGCTGGCTGCTGCTGCTGCAGCAGCAGACGCTGCAGCCCTCATCTTTTCAAGCTCCTCCTGAACCTGTAGAGTGCAGATGCAGGTCGCAAGACACACGGCATATGAAAAACGAATGACATGAGACAAGCCATACAATACAAGTCATATGAGCTACACCACAAGACATAAGGCATAAGTCGGCCACCTTTCCAACCATGAACTGTCAAGAAGAAGAAAGAAAGTAAGAGAGAAAGAAAGTGGAAGCAGGGGGCAGGTAGAAAGAAGGCAAGTAGGTGGACAAGACAAGCACAGGGTGGTGCAACAGGCTGCATTGCAGCGCATGACTGTTGCTGCCGCTGCTGACCTTGCAGTATGATTCCTCCCACTTGGCGCTTGCTGCTTTGTGTGCCTCTGCCTCTGCCTTCCACTGCTGCACCTGCTTCGCCAGTGCTTCCTCCTGGTGGATGCAGAAAAATAATGTGTAAAAGAAGAAGAAAACATGATGAATTGTGAGGGAACCGAGGCACGCCGGCACAAGAGAACATGGCATGGCATAGTCTGCCCGCATTGTGCCACCGCCAAGCCCGCATTGTACAAGAGTTTTGTCCTTGCTTTTGCCATGCTGATTCCCCTCCCCACCCACTCACCCCAACTCACCGAACCACCCACCTACCCAACACACCGACACACCCACCCACCCACCCAGGCGCACCCACACACCCCCCCTGTGAGTGCTGCACGGCACTGCACCTCACCTTATCCTTGGCAACCGCTTGGCTCAAAGCAACCTGCCGACCGTACTCCCCCTCCTCCTCCTTCCTCCTCGCCCTCTCCTCCCTCTCCGCCACCCGCTCCTCCCGCACACTCACCTTCTCCTCCCTCTCAATCACCCTGTCCTCCCGCACTAACAGCCTCTCCTCTCTCTCAAAAACCCTCCTCTCCATCGCTCTAACCTCCTCCTCCCTCTGCCCCCCAACACTCCCCTTCTTCCTCCCTTCCTCCTCCACCTCAGCCAGCTTCCCTTGCAATTCCCCCACCTGCCCCCCCAGGCTCTCGATCCTCCCCTTCTGCTCCTCAATCGTCCTCTCCTGCTCGCTAATAGTGCCCCTATGCTCCTCAACCTTACTTTCTAACTCTCTGATACTACCCTCCTGCATTTCAATCCTCTCGTCCTGCGCTTTCAGCTTCGCCTCCTGACCATCAATCGTGTCCTCTAACTCTTCTATAATATCCTGCTGCTTCGCAATCCTGCTCTCCTGCTCCTCGATCCTCCCCTCCTGCTCCTTAACCTTCCGTTCCTGCGCGCCCCTCACCTCCTCCTCCTCCTTCATCCCTTTCTCCTGCTGCGCTACCCACTCCTCCGCCTCCTTCCCCCTCTTTTCCTCTATCTCCTTCAACCTCCCCTCCAGCTCTCTCACTTTCTCTTCAAGCTCTCGCACGTGCCTCTCTTTCTCTCTCATCGCTTCTTCCATTGCCTGTATCTGCTTCCTGTGAGCCTCCTTCTCTCTCTCGGCCTCCACACCCACACCACCACCAACGGTTAGTTTCGCGATCGCAGCCGCAGCTGCTGCTTCCTGGTGCTTCTTAGCGTCTGCCAGCAGAGCCTGCTGCGCTGCCTGAAAGGACGGGGAAGGGCGAGGGTTGGAGAGAAGGGTGGAGGGAGTGGGGGTTACTTGTTTTGCAATCGCTGCTGCTGCTGCTTCCTGCTTCTTCTTTGCGTTTGCCGGCAGAGCTTGCTGCACGGCCTGGTAGGAAAAGAGAGGGCCTGCATGTGTGGAGAGAGAGGAAGGAGGACAACATTGAGGGTGGATAAAAAATTCCCAGACTCCTCCTGCACTTGCTTCTGAGGTGCCCTGAGAGACGTGTTTCAGGCACCGCATCGTGTGTGTGCAGACGTGCAGGCACTTGGTTTTGAAGTTACAGTTGGAAGCAGACGCGCAGAGTGCACTTGTGGAGTGACCTCCCTGCTTACTGCCTCTGCCCGAAAAAAAATTAGGTCTACTTGAAAGTCGCCTCTTCATGTGTGGAAGCAGTCGTGTACTTGTGGAGTGGATTTCCTGCTTACTGGCTCTGCTTGTCCATCCAGCAACACACCTGTCCACCCACCTGTTCACCCACCCACCCACCCACCCACCCACTTACCCACCCACCCACCCACTTACCCACCCGCCCGCCCACCCACCCAGCCACCCGCTCACCAGTTGCTGCCTGAGCTGGTTACGCTCCTGAAACAGCCTCTTGCAATCCAGTGATGCCTGCATGCACACACATGCACACACATGCACACACATGCACACACATGCATGCAGATGCAAACAGATGCACATAATGCATGCAAGCCCACATGCCAACACGTGCGCGTGCGCGCGCGCACACATTCACACACACACACACACACACACACACACATGCAAAAAGCATGTGAGAACAATCATGCAGTGGGAGGCAAGAGAGGACGGGTGAGAAGGGGTAAGAGGAGGGGGGTGTGGAGCGGTGGAGGTGAATGGAGCAGAAAACGGAAAACATAGAGTAACAAGCACCCCGCAGCAACCCTCACCCCCTTTCACGGCTGTCTTCCCCTCCAGTTACTTTCAACCGCTCCACATTCCTCCCCACACCTCTCCCACACGTAACACCGATCCTCCCCCCTCCCCCCTGCCCCGTTGTCCCATTTGCTCCCCACCCCCAACGAGGTGACTTTTGAGTCGACTCAAAAGTTGTCCCATTTGCTCCCCACCCCCAACGAGGTGACTTTTGAGTCGACTCAAAAGTTGTCCCATTTGCTCCCCACCCCCAACTCGACTTCACTCACACCACTTCCCCACCCACAACCCTCCACGCCTCCAGGACTCTCTCCCCAACTCCTCTCCCTTACATCGGAGGCTCGTTCCTCTGCAGCCTCAAGCCTCGCCTTGAGCTCCTGCACTTCCTTCTCCCTGTCCTTGCCATCCCCGCCACCGCCACCAATAGCGCCAGGGTCGGACCGGGAGCTCACAGACGGGGACGGGCTGGCGTTCAGTCTGTCCAGCGACCGCCTCCGCTCCTTCTCGCCCTGATGGTCGTGGGCGTGGGGGAGTGGGTGGGGACGAGGGTGGGAGCGTGGGTTGGGGCGTGGGTGGGGCCGTGGGCATGGGCAATGGGAGCGCAGAGGCTAGCGTTCAGTCTGTCCAGCGACCGCCGCCGATCCTTCTCGCCCTGATGGCTGTGGGGCGTGAGGTCGTGGGGTGGTGGGAGTGGGTGGTTTGGGGAATACGCGAGCTGCGCGTGCTGCTGCGTTTACTCTGTCCAACGGTTGCCGTCGCTCCTTCTCGCCCTGATGCTCGTGGTTACGGGCGAGGGGGGGAACGAGGGTGGGAGCGTGGGTAAGAGCGTGGCTGGGAGCGTGGTTGGGGCGTGGGTGGGAGCATGGGCGGGGGCGTGGATGGGGGTGTGGTGTGAGCAAGGCCGATGGGGCACAGAGGCAGGCTAGACGGGGCCTTACCAAACGTATGTAACCACACCTGCGCTCTCTTCTTAGCCTGACGATGGCTGCGTCTAGGTAAAGGTCCCTGCGCCAAAGCGACAGATGATAACATGACAACATTCTGAACCTAGCGCTTCTCTCTTTCCAGGTGCCTCAAAAGAGACACACATGACCACATGATAAACCAAACGTTCCTATCTTTCCAACCGTTTCTTCTTCTCGTCGCTCACTCCTTGCCAACGGGACCAGCATTCCCTCTAGTTCGTTCTCACAGCCCTCTTCTTCCCCCACCGCACTGCACTTACTCCAATCGCTCTCTCCTCCGCTGCTGCCAGCCTCCCTCTCAGCGCACCCAGGTCAATCGCGCCTCTCTGCTGCTGCGCCTGCTGCTGCGGATGCTGCTGCGGCGACCGCGGCTGGTCTGGTGAATTCCTATGCGACAGCTGGTTCAACTGCTGCTCCAGCTCCTGATGAAACGGGGATGGCTTCTGCGCCTGCTGCGGCCTCCCCTGCGCCTGCGGTTGCGCCTGTTGTTGGCGCAGCAGCTCCTGCACCGCCTGCTGCTGCTTCGCCGCCGCCAATTGCGCGCGCCCCGCGGACACAGGCGGGGACGGCACCCCGCCAGCCGGCCGAAACACGGCAGCCGCTACAGCCGCCGCGGCCGCCGCCGCCGCCGCCTCAGCATCCGCTGTAGCAGCAGCCGGGGAGGCGGGGTTGGCGGGGGAACCGGGGAAGGCGCGCGCCGGAGGGGCGAAGGGGTGGTGGCGCGGGTCCGGGACGGGGGCGCCTGGGGGAGCGCGAAGCGGGGCTTGGTAGGGGGACGCGGGTCCGGCTGCTGCTGCAGCGGCGGCCGAGGCGGCTGCTAGGGCTGAATCGAGCCCTCCGGGAGGTGCTCTGTGTGACCCCATGCCGCCAGGGAGCATGGGATGGATCAGATCGTTGGAGTGACGGCGGAACGACTGGCGGAACGCAGAATTTGGGGGGAGAATGCGAAGGGGAAGAGGGGAGGGGGGAAGGGGGAGGCGCGGAGGAAAAGGGGGGAAGGAGGACGAGAGTGAGAAGCTTGCGAAAGGGTGATGAGGACAGAGGACGCCTTTCGAGGCGCCTTGATAGAGGACGAAGTATATGGCGGAGAAAAACGAGACGTTGGCGAACGCAGGGGAGGAGCTAGCACGAGTGTTATAACACATCCAATGAGTGTGGGATGAACCAACACAAGCCAGTGACTTCAAATGCGCTATACGAACTCCGGGAGTGAACCGTAATCGGGCTAGCCATCTACGCCGATCAATAACTTCTACGCCGATTAAATACCGAGGCAAGAAATGCTACGATCACCCAGTGCCTGACCATGGGGTGTAAGTCTTGCCGTCTCCCACCTTTCGCTGCGAACTATTAAGCACGGAAAACGTCTCGACGATACGAGATGAAAAAAGTCGTGTTTCTGCAGGAATGATAAAACCGAGAGGAAAGAAACACGAGGCATCAGCATAGGGGGTAGAGCACAGGAGGCGGTTAAGCCTTTATTTTACACGCTACGTAGAGTCAAGACGACGCGCAGGACGGCGCGAAGTAAGAGGTCCGACAGACACACCTTTCTTACGCTGCACCACACGAGCTCGAATGACAAGGGAAAGGTGGCGCAATCGATCACGTCAACCAGTGGCTCTTTACCAGAATGCGAGAGATAAGTGATGGCTAAGAACCTACGCGATTGTATAACTACCACTGAATGGAAATGAGTACTAGAGCACAGGGATGGAAGACTGACTGGGAAGGGAAAGACTAGAGCTGAACCACAGCCTAGATTATTACGATGACATGGAAGTTTGTGGCACCGCCGAACCACGGCAGCAAACCATCTCTTAGGTACGCCAATGGATGACGCGTACATTTTATTGGTTCGCAATACAGCTTCGGTTGGGGTAGCCAGTCTGGGTCTGGCTCGGGTGTGGTTGGGACCAGACCTATCGGACACAGCTTCATCCTTTCGCCAAAACTTGGGACGGAAGGCTTCCCTTCCAAGTGACGTCAATCGAGTCGGCTGCGCCGCCTGCTTCTGGTACACTGACGGAATTGCCAACACACCGACTGACTGACGTTTGCGAACGGCAAAATCTTCGACCTTCACCAGATTTCCTCCTCATCGACCATATACGACAATAGGCGACCATCCACATCATCACTTCGTTCCTGCTGGCGCCAGTAATGACGACTTCAGGAGGTTTGGCTGCACATTTGCCGTGCCCGATTGGTTTGATGAGAAACTTTTCTCGTAGCGCCGCCCCGAAGCTCCTATTGGCTTTGTTAGTGCCGAGCCTTCGTCGTTCCTCAACGAAGTTGAACAGGCTGGTTTGGCAGGTCTGTGAGTCAAGGTTCATCACTAAGAAGAGCCTCCTTATTGCTTACCGTCATAAGTGTCACGTAAATATTGGGAATATAGAACATAAATGCTCGTGAGCAGAGCTCCAGCTTGAGTCTTCTGTTCCCCCTCAGCATGTGAAATATCTTGCTCTGGATTGGGTCTGTTCTGGGACTCGACAATGAGAGAATGACTCCAGTGGCCAATAAGGTGATTCACCATCCCTCGCGTGGCCACGAATGACTCGAGTGGCCACCAAATTTGGTGATAATGACTCGAGTGGCCACGCCAGGGGATTCTAGCTGGCTTTTTTTTCTTCGGCGCATTACCCTACGGGGCTTTGTAGACCCGAAATTCCCCATTCGTGCGAGGGTTATCCTTAGGTAGTATTCCGTTCTGTTCCGCACCCGAAAATTTCGCCAGGCTCACGGACGCGAAAGTGGCCCGCTCACTGTACATTGACCAACAGTACATTGACCGGTCATTTACGGCCAAATGCTCTACAAATGAGCGCGCGGTCAATATAATTCACATCCAATCAGCGAACGAGCATATGACTTCGCGATCATATACTGCAATTGACTCGAAACGAACCGACACTGCAAAAACGACCGCGCTCGATTGGTCAGGAGATATGCGTGTCCAATCAGGTGCCATCGTATAGTTCCCGATCATAAACTGAAATGATCGGCCATCGGTTCGCGAGAAATCAGATGACCGCGCGTGATTGGTTTGTCTTGTTCGCAGGATATGACCAGACATTGCGCGCCCAATCAAAGAACGTCCAAACAAAGGCGCAGTCATATATTATATAAGGCCGCGCAATAACCTTTATGTGCGCGCATTTTTTATGATGCGTAGTGAGCTTATAAAACCTAAACATAAAATCCAAAAACTTATTCTCCCTGAGTATATTTGGTATGTCGTGGCTACTGTCTTGAGTTTTGTTTTGCCGTTACTCTAGATAACACTGTGAACACCTTTCATGTGGTGATATGCGCGGAGGGTTATACTGCTCTGCATATGTATCTATTGGCATGTCAGGTTAGGATCGACGCATGTATACCATAGTTTAAGTAGATCGTTTTGATGTTTACGGATCACGCAATTCCAGTATCACCAAATGTCACAGGATTTATTGCGTTGCTTAACCTAGGAAGGCATCGATGATGTCGTCTGCTTGTCAGATTTATATGACTTAGCTGCTGTAGGCTATAGTGAGGTAGCACATATAGGGTACAGCTTTCTAGGGTTTGTACTTGTACCCAACTTTCCCTTAGTCTATTCATTCCTCGTTCATTTTCACATGGTATCAGAGCGAAGGTCACGGGTTCGAATCCCAGTGTGTGCACTTCGGGCATCCCAGTGCGGGGGGGTGTCAGAGGTCCACTGGTGATCCCCGATTGATCCTAGGGAAGGGTTACAGGCTCGTTGTCCTGGGGGGTTATAGAGCAGGTTCCCCTATGGGAACTGTTCCTAGGGCCCACCAACTTTTTTTTCCTGCCCGGAGCGCGCTCAGCCTCTGCCCGAGTCGCGCTCCCCTCTCTCGGCCCCGTCGCGCCGCCCTTACGACCCCGTCGCGCCGCCTCAGCGGCCCCGTCGCGTCGCGCCTCCCTAGCGGCCCCGTCGCGTCGCCCTTGCGACCCCGTCGCGCCGCCCTCGCGGTCCCGTTGCGTCGCGCCGCCCTCGCGGCCCTTTCGCGCCGCCCTCGCGGCCCTTTCGCGCCGCCCTCGCGGCCTCCTCGAGCCGCCCTCGCGACCCCTCCACGCCGCCCTCGCGGCCCCGTCGCCTACCCTTGCGGCCCCGGCGCCACCCTTCCCGGCCCCGGCGCCGCCTCTGCTGGCCCCGTCGCCCCACCCTTGCGACCCCGCGGCCCCACCCTTAAGGCGCCGGTCGCCACCCTTCGTGGCCCCGCTGCCGCCCTCAGCGGCCTCGTCGCCGCCCCACCCGGCCCCGCCGCCGTCCCCACGCGGCCCCGCCGTCACCACCGAGCCGCCGGCGCCGCTGAGCCGCCGATCTACCGAGCCGCCGCTGCTGCCGAGCCGCCCGAGCCACCCGAGCCGCCCGAGCCGCCGAGCCACCTGAGCTGCCCGAGCCGCCGAGTCGCCGAGCCGCCGAGCTCCAGTTGCTGCCGAGCCGCCGTGCCGCCGAGCCGCCCGAGCCGCCCGAGCCGCCGAGTCGCCGAGCCGCCGAGCTGCAGTTGCTGCCGAGCCGCCGAGCTGCCGAGCCGCCCGAGCCACCCTGTCCGGTAAGAGCGGCACCTCTACCACTGCGCTGCCCTTACCCTACTGCTCCAGCTGCTAGTCTACTGCTGTCATGGCTACCCCCAGTGTCCTCGCTTTTGACGCTGAGGGTCGAGCCATTGACTTTGACGTCTGGGTAGATGACCTGCAGCTTTTCCTACAGTGCGACAGGGCAGACGGTCTCTCTCTCTTTGACCTCACTTCTGGTGCCTCTTCTGCCCCTGCTGCTGATGCTGACGCCACTGTTCGCTCACAGTGGGCCACACGCGACGCTGCTGCCCGTCTTGCTGTGCGCCGCCACTTGCCTACCGCTGAGCGTGCACACTTTAGTCAGTACAAGAGTGCTAAGACCTTGTACGACGCTGTAGTTGCACGCTACTCTTCCCCTGCCACTGCTGCACTTAGCCGCCTCATCCTGCCGTACCTCTTCCCTGACCTCGCCGCTTTTCCCACAGTCGCTGACCTCATTACGCACCTGCGCACTAGTGACACTCGCTACCGCGCTGCCCTTCCTCCTGAGTTCTGCGCCAAGAACCCCCCCCCCTATGTACATCACCCTCTACTACGTAGTCACCCGGCTCCCTGACACCCTTCGCCCGGTCAGGGACCACTTTCTCTCTGTTTGCCCCACCACCCTCACCGTTGATCTCCTCGAGGAGCGCCTCCTAGCAGCAGAGAAGAGCATAGTCGCTGTAGGAGCCTCTCGTGGTGACCCTCGTGCCCCTGTCTTTGAGGGGTGCTCCCCCTCTCCTCTCTTGCCCTCTGTTGCCTCTGCTGCTGCGGCCGACCTCGTTGGACTTGAGTCGGTCGGTGCGGCGTCTGCCCCTAGCGGGAGACGCCGCACTGGCAAGGGCAAGGGGGGCAGGGGCGCTGGAGGAGCTAGCGGGGGCGGTGGAGGCGGCGGTGGAGGCGGCGGAGGGGGTGGGGGTGGCGGTGGGGGTGGTGGCGGGGGTGGGGGCGTCGGTGGCGGCAGTGGAGGCGGAGGCGGCGGCGGCGGTGGCGGTGGGAGCGGAGGTGGCGGAGGTGGCGGCGGTGGAGGAGGCGGCGGCGGAGGAGGTGGAGCTGGTCGGGGTGGCGCTGCGCAGAGGGTCGGCTCCGGTGGTGGTCAGCGCCAGCAGCAGCAGCAGCAGCAGCAGCAGCGCACTCGTGAGATCCCCCCCCCTCAGCAGCTTCGTGAGTGGTACGCTGCACGCCAGCGGGGTGGGGGTACTGGTCCGTGCACCTACGTCCTACGCACCGGCGACCGCGCGGGTGAGCCGTGCGGAGGTGCGCACTCCACCCAGCGCTGCTTTGGCCGCCTGACGGACGCTTGGCGTCACCAGTTCCCTGAGGCCACTGAGATCCCTCGCTGGGGTGAGCTGTCTAGGGCGGGAGTAGCTATCTTTGACCTTCACTTTGATGCTATTCTTGCTGCCATGTATGCTGTGACTATTAGTGATGAGGGTGACTGTTACTGGTGTTTTCCGCCCGACCCGGGCATTGGGACTGCTGCTCTAGGTACTGGTGAGGCTGCTGCTCTAGGTGCTAGCGAGGCTGCTGCTCTAGGTGCCAGTGCGTCTGCTTCCTCAGGTGCTGGTGAGTCTGCTCTCTCAGGTACTGCGTCGGCTCCGGCCTCCCACACCTTCACTCTTGACTCGGGGGCTTCTCGCTCCTTCTTTCGAGACCGCACCACACTCACGCCGCTTGGTCGGCCAGTTGCAGTCTCTCTGGCAGACCCCTCTGGGGGTCCTGTCCTTGCTCACTTCTCCACTGTCCTCCCGTGTCCGGCGGCCCCCTCTGGCACCCTGTCTGGTCTTTACCTCCCCTCGTTCTCTACGAACTTGGTGAGTGGTGCTGACCTACAGGATGCGGGGGTTCACCAGTTCACTCCTGCGAGCCAGCGTGTGACCCACTGCACGGACGCTCGGACGGGCCGACACTTGGCCACGTTTACACGTCGGCCGGGGTCGAGCCTGTACACACTGACCACTGAGTCTCCTCCAGTCACTGGGTCTGGTCAGGCAGCTGCGTCGGGTCAGGTGTTTGCTGCAGCGTCCAGGTCTGGTCCTGAGTCTGCCCCCTGCTCGTGTCGCCTCCTGTCTCACGAGACTCTCCTCTGGCACCACCGCCTTGGTCACCCCTCCCTGCTTCGTCTCCGAGGCATGGCCTCCCGTGTCCTTGTCTCTGGTCTTCCCCGCTCCCTCCCTCCCCTTCCTCCGGGGCCTGCCCCTACCTGCGTCCCCTGTGTCGAGGGGCGGCAGCGTGCTGCCCCTCACTCCTCCCAGTTTCCTCCGACAGAGGCCCCGCTGCAGACGCTTCACATGGACGTGTGGGGCCCGGCCCGCGTCCGTGGACAGGGTCACGAGCGCTACTTCCTGCTGGTGGTTGACGACTACTCGCGTTACACCACAGTCTTCCCCTTGCGCAGCAAGGGTGATGTCACTGAGGTGTTGATCGACTCGTCTCCAGCTCAGAGAGAGTTTCGGCTCGGACTTTCCTGTTCTGCGTCTGCACTCTGACAGAGGCGGAGAGTTCTCCTCTGGCCTTCTGCGAGCCTACTGTCGTGCACGAGGCATCCGCCAGACCTTCACGCTTCCGGACTCTCCACAGCAAAATGGGATTGCTGAGCGCCGCATTGGCATGGTCATGGACGTCGACCGTACGTCCATGATGCATGCGGCTGCCCCCCATTTTCTGTGGCCGTTTGCGGTTCGGTACGCGGCGCATCAGATCAACCTTCAGCCCAGGGTCTCCATGCCGGAGACCTCCCCAGCTTTGCTGTGGACGGGGAAGGTTGGCGATGCGTCTGCGTTCCGTGTCTGGGGATCTCGGGCGTTTGTCCGCGACTTTTCTGCAGACAAGCTGTCCCCTCGTGCTGCTCCCTGCGTCTTCCTTGGCTTCCCCCCTGACGCGCCAGGGTGGCAGTTCTACCACCCCACCTCTCGCCGTGTCTTGTCCTCCCAGGACGTCACGTTTGACGAGTCGGTCCCCTACTACCGTCTCTTCCCCTACCGCACTCCGTCCCTCCCCCCGCCTCCGCTCTTCCTTGTGCCAGGTCCCCCCCCGGTAGACCCCCTTCCCCCTCAGGGTCCTGCCCCTTCAGGTGTGTCCCAGGTAGACGCAGTCGAGCCTGTGGAGGTCGCTGGTGACTCTGGTGCTGCTGGGGGTGCTGAGCCTGGGGGTGCTGACTCTGGGGGTGCTGAGCGTGTGGGTGCTACGCCTGGGGGTGCTGAGCTTGGGGGTGCTGAGCCTGAGGGTGCTACGACTGGGGGTGCTGAGCCTGGGGGTGCTGAGTCTGGGGGTGCTGAGCCTGGGGGTGCTACGACTGGGGGTGCTGAGCCTGGGGGTGCTACGCCTGGAGGTGCTGAGCCTGGGGGTGCGGAGCCTGAGGGAGCTGGGCGTGCTCGTGTGGCGTCTGGCGGTGCTGGGCCTGGAGGTTCTCTGGGTGCTCCGTCTCGACGGGAGCCACTCTCTCCACAGGAGGTGCGTGAGTGGTTTGCCCGGCGCTGGAGGCGTGCTACTGGAGCTGGAGGTTCTTCGGCTGCTGAGGGTGCTGTTGCCACGGGTCCCGGAGGTGCTCGTACTGGGAGTACTGGAGCTGCTGGGCCTGCGGGTTCTACTGGAGCTGGAGCTGCTGAGGGTGTTGGCGCTGAGGGTACTGCTGGCGGTACTGGAGGCGGTCCTGCTGGGGGTGCTACTGGTGCTGCTGGGGGTACTGGAGCTGGAGGTGCTGCTAGCGCTGGTGCTACCACTGGGGGTACTGGTGCTGTCCCTGCTGTGTCTGGAGTCGCTGCGCGGCCTCGGCCGTACTTCGTTCCGCTTCTTGAGCAGGTTCTTGGTCTCCCGCCTTCTACTGGTCCTCCTCCTCCCTTAGAGTGTCCACAGCCTGTCCCGTCACAGTTACAGTTACAGCCGGCCTCCCCACTGCCTGCTCCTTCTCCCTACACTGGTCCTACTGGAGGTCTTGCTGAGCGTCGTGAGCCTGCGTCTCGTCCTGCGTCGCCTGTCCGTGCTGCTCGCGCTAGTGGTCGTGGTTCGCGTCAGCGTCCTCCCCCTGTGCCCGGCACGCACCGGATGTCTCTCCGTCCGTCCACTGCTCCTCTGCGTGCCCCTTTGCCTTCTCCTCCTGAGTCCTCTCTTCCTGCTCTTGCTGACCCGGAGTCGGACTCCCTTCGTGCTGCCAGTCCGACTGTCACGCGTCTCCTTACTACTGTTGTCACTGACCCTTCCTTTGAGTCCACTGCTGCGTCTGCCCTAGTTGCTGAGCTCGTCGACTTTGCTGCTCGCTGTCGTCTAGACTACGCTGCTAGTCTTGTTGCTGCGTCTGAGTCTGTCTGTCCTCCGTCCGTCGGGGGTGAGTGTGCCCTTGGCACGGACGTCCTTGAGGACAGACAGGAGGAGTTCCAGTGTTTGGCTGCTGCTTCACCTCATCTCGTGTCCGTACTGCTTACCCCTGAGGGAGACCCGGATGCACTTGACATCCCGACTCCGCGCTCTTACGCGGAGGCGATAGAGGGTCCCTACTCCTCTCAGTGGCAGGCAGCTATGGACGCAGAGATGGCTTCCTGGAAGTCCACAGGCACCTACGTTGACGAGGTTCCCCCGCCTGGGGCGAACATCGTCAGTGGCATGTGGATTTTCAGGGTGAAGCGGCCGCCGGGTTCTCCGCCTGTCTTCAAGGCGCGTTACGTGGCTCGTGGCTTCAGTCAGCGGCAGGGAGTTGACTACTTTCAGACCTTCTCTCCCACCCCGAAGATGACCACTCTTTGGGTACTGCTGCACATAGCTGCTCACCGTGACTACGAGCTACACTCTCTTGACTTCAGCACTGCTTTCTTGCAGGGCAGCCTGCACGAGGAGATCTGGCTGCGCCGCCCACTTGGCTTCACTGGGACTTTTCCTCCTGGCACCCAGTGGAGCCTCCGGCGGCCAGTCTACGGTCTCCGCCAGGCACCGCGTGAGTGGCACGACACACTGAGGACTACGCTTGCGGCTCTTGGGTTTGCTCCCGCTACTGCCGACCCGTCGCTGTTTCTGCGCACCGACACTTCTTTGCCGCAGTTCTACATCCTCGTGTACGTCGACGACTTGGTCTTTGCCACAGCTGACACTGCTGGACTCGCCCACGTGAAGTCCGAGCTGCAGAAGAGACACACGTGCACAGACCTGGGTGAACTGCGCAGCTACCTTGGCTTGCAGATCACCCGGGACAGAGCACGCCGCACCATTACCCTGACTCAGTCACACATGGTGCAGCAGGTCCTTCAGCGCTTCCGCTTCACGTACTCCTCGCCTCAGGCCACTCCTCTGCCTACTCGCCACTCGCTCTCAGCTCTGCCTTCGGATGAGTCCGTAGAGTCGAGTGGCCCGTACCCAGAGCTTGTTGGCTGCCTCATGTACCTGATGACCTGCACTCGACCTGACCTTGCATACCCTCTTAGCATTCTCGCACGCTATGTTGCTCCTGGGAGACACAGACCGGAGCACATGGCTGCAGCGAAGAGGGTGTTGCGCTACTTGTGCAGTACGTCGGGCATGGGGCTTGTGCTTGGAGGGCAGAGTCCAGTGGTCCTCACTGGGCACGCAGACGCTTCTTGGGCTGACGACCAGGCTACGCAGCGGTCGTCACAGGGTTACACCTTCAGCCTTGGTTCCGGCTCTGTCTCGTGGCGGGCTACCCGCTCGTCTTCTGTTCTCGGTTCCAGTTGTGAGGCTGAGATCTACGCAGGGGCCATGGCTGCACAGGAGTTACGCTGGCTCACCTACCTGCTGACTGACCTCGGAGAGCCGCCTCGTTCTCCTCCAGTGCTGTACGTAGACAACAAGGCCATGCTGGCCTTGTGTCGGGAGCACAGACTGGAGCACAGAACGAAGCACATTGCTCTTCGCTACTTCCTTGCTCGTGAGCTACAGCAGCGTGGTCAGCTACGCCTTGCGTACGTGGCCTCTCAGGCCAACACTGCTGATATCTTCACCAAGGCACTTGCGCCTTGTGATCATCAGCGCTTCTGTACTCAGCTGGGTCTTGTGCCTACCTTGCCTCACTTGCTCACCCCTTGACCTTGTTTGTACTGTTACATATATATATACACCTGCTCTTGCTTGTTTAGCCTTATATATATATGTAATCCTGCATGTGAACTGGCCTTGTGGCCTTGAACTTGTGCTCGGAATGTGTGGTGACGTTGTGATCCACCCTGAGCTTGCTTTGCTTTGCTTGACTGGTCTTGTGACCCCTTGTCCTCCCCCACTTTGCCTATGGGGGTGTGTCAGATTTATACGACTTAGCTGCTGTAGGCTATAGTGGGGTAGCACATATGGGGTACAACTTTCTAGGGTTTGTACTTGTACCCAACTTTCCCTTAGTCTATTCATTCCTCGTTCATTTTCACACTGCTGGCCCTGCACACGGTCATGCAACAAATTCAAGAATTATTACATGGTTAGGATTTTGACGGGCTATGGATACGCAAAACTATGACACATCAACACATCTCACCTGCTGCTGGCTCACTTGCCAGTGCGGAGCCGTGCGACGGGGGGTTGGGGTCGTTGGGTGCAGTGGGCATGCTCAGATTGTGCTGGGAATCTGTCATGCCAGCTACCCTGGCCTGTGCATTTTCCTCAGAGGGCGGAACCTGGTGGGCGTGTGGGTCTGTTCCCTGTTGTGCCGTGCTGGGTGCAACGGCTGGTGGTGTGGGTAGGACATGCGGATAGGGTGCTGTGTTCTGTGCTGCGGTATGGCCTGCAGGGTTGGGAGCAATGGGTACTGCACGGACTGGGTGTACAGAAATAGGTGCTTGCACCTGGCCGAATGGATGGATTGGGATATGGTTGAATGGAAATGGCTGGGATGGATAATGGAGGTTGGGAGGAGGGTGGCTCTGGCTGTACGGCTGCCATCCACCTTGGTTTGGGGTCGCACCGGCGTGTCCCGCGAAGGCGGCAGCTGGCTGATGGTAGCCAAACGTGGCTCCAGGATGCTGGTGGGAAAAGGGAGGTGGGGCCTGTGTGTGAACTCCTGTTGCCGCTGGGGTGGAAGGCTCAGGGAGGCTGCTGAGCACTGCACGCCAGTTCCTCCACTCCGGCCACCGCTTGGCATCCACAATCCGCTCAACCCCTTTCGACGTCAAACCCTCCAAGCACCTCCTGTCCTCCTCGTTCAACTCCACCATCTTTGAGCCGGAGAGGGACGGTCGGCAGATGTGAGCGGCTGCGGCATAGGCTGTTGCGGCTTCCAGGATGTCGGTGTACCGTCCCAGCGCTAAAAATTTGCCTCTAGGACCATCTACACACAGCTTCGCCGCCCACTTATTTTCCCGTTTGCTTACTCCTGTATAACCTGAGCTAAGAGCTCTACCACGCGCGTTATTGCGACTCGTCGTCTCTGTCCACTCGAGCTTGGCAATAGCCACTGCCTGACCCTCATTGCGAACCTCCAGCCTATGCATTCGTTCGGCCATCTCCGCTCTCCACTCCTTATCCTCCACCTCATCGCCAATCACCTCAGCCTCATGCGGTTTTGATATCTCATTGCCAGGAGGGATCTCATGCCCAGCTGCCGTGAGCTCGCCGATCAGCCGCCCTTCTGCAAGAGCGCATACATCCTCCCGTAACCCACGTCGGTACGCCAACGGGCTCATGCTGAACCGCACCCCGATCTCAGCACCTTCGAAACACGCCTCCACAAGCGCATGTATGTACTGGCAGACGAAGATGCCGCAGTCAACATCGTTCTGCTGCAAAGGCATCTGCCACGCCTGCGATACAGGAAAGGGACATGCTGCGTCAAACATAAGTGAACGCACCATGCACATACTGAATGTAGCGCTCAGCACATTGGCACCATACACCCGAAAACACTTCATTGGCAGTTTCGCAGCATCGTGACCAAGGGTGCACCATGCGCATGGTTGCGGCATGGTTACATCGGTTGCTATAACAGCATGTCAGCGCATGCAGGTTGTTGCATGTTATACGAGCGTACAACATGTAAACACACCTTCATGACCTGTGGCTGGAATCGCCCGAGCCTCGCTTTCATCTCTTCTATAGGTCGGTTTCCGTGCTCTTTCTCGAAGGCCATGCCGAGCAAGCTGTGAGGGCGTGTGGGAAGGAAGTGGACGCGGTGGAAGTGTGAATGTATGACACATAAACTCGCCCGATCATTTTTTAGTGCTTGTAAGGGAAATACAAGTGGCTCTCTAAACACTTACTTGGTCATGTTCTTGAATGCATTGCCTCCCACAGCATGCATCCCAAGGGAGTCGTACAGCAGCAACCACGCAGGGGGGGTGGCGGTGTTGTCGTCGAGCGGGAGGGTCACAACTCCTGGATTGACCACAATCATCACGCTGAAATGAAACCTGCATCGTCACCGCATTACACCACTAATGTTACAGTCAGGCAAAGCAACACCGGAAGCCAAATGCTTCAATGCTAGACCACAAACGGGATCATGTCACTTACCCGCCGTAGATTGGCATAGCGAGATAGTCGAAGCTGAAAATCAACGGCCTAGTGTCAGAATGTTATTATTGTCTAGCCTGCAGTGGGGTAGTCCATAGTGAGTACAGCCCAATTAGGGTTTGCTATATGTATCCAACTGCTTGCTAGTGAAACCCCTCCTTTCTTCTTTCTTGTTTCTACTGCTAATTCTGACATGCTATCAGAGCAGGTCGACCCTCCTGGGTCGATCCTGTGTATGGGCCCACCACCTCATGCTTCCGCTGCTGTACTACTTGTCGCGCGCCTCGGTCGCGCGACGCCTTCTTCCTGCCGTTTTCAGCCCGCCGTGCGCCCCGAGGCGCGCGGCGGTTTCCTACCGTGGGGGACCCGCGCGCGCCCCCGCCCTGTCCGTCGCGGCGCCCTGGGGGACACGCGCGCTGCCCCCGTTGCCCCGTCGGTGGTCGTGTCGCCCCGCCACCCCGTCGCGCCGCCCTGGGGAGCCGCGTGCGACCCCCCCCCCGCTGCCCCGTCGACCCTCGCGTCGACTCGCTGGACCCGCGCGCGGCATCCCGTCGACCGTCGCGTCGCCTCCGGGGACCCGCGCGCGGCCCCTCGCTGCCCCATGGTGGCGCCCTGGGGGCCGCGCGCCTCCCCCCTTCGCCGTCCCCTGCGCTCCTACCCCGTGCCACCCGTTTTAGGGTTTGGGGGTGGGGAGTGTGAAGGTGGCGGTTGTGGGGGTGCCCGTTGTGTGCGCCGTCCCCTACTCCTCCTCCTCCTCCGTCTCCCGCTGCTGCAGCTGCCGCTCAGGGGGGTGTGTGTGTGGGGAGCCGAAGGAGTGGTGCTAGGGGGGTGAAGGGGGAGTGGAGCTAGGGGTGAAGCAGGGGGTGTGTGTCAGGGGGGGTGGGACTGTTTGGGGAGGCTGAGAGGAGGCTGCCGTCTTGTCGTCCGCAGCACCTGTAGTCCGGGGCGCTGTCCTGGTAGCCCAGAGAGCCTGCTGCGCCTGTCGCCCGTGGGTCCGTTGCTCCTGTAGCTCCTCGTAGCCCGTGAGCCAGTTACTCCAGTAGTCCGGGGCGCTGTCCCGGTAGCCACTGTGCCAGCCGCTCCAGTTGCCCGTGTGTCTGCAGCTTCAGCCGTCGTCTCTCATCTTCTCTCCTCTCACAGTCCCTCCTCCTCCTCACTTGCCCGCTGTGACTACCACTAGCTTTGCTTATAATTGTGAACTATTACTATGACTGCTCATTGTGCTGATTACACCCCACTTTGGCTATGGGGGTGTGTCAGAATGTTATTATTGTCTAGCCTGCAGTGGGGTACTCCATAGTGAGTACAGCCCAATTAGGGTTTGCTATATGTATCCAACTGCTTGCTAGTGAAACCCCTCCTTTCTTCTTTCTTGTTTCTACTGCTAGTTTTGACACCTAGTGTCTCCACTGGTTATCTTGCCCCGAGAGCAGAAGTACTCATAACTTTGACTGTCCAACGCGAGCCACGTCTTGCCGTTGCTCAACTTTGGCTGGCGGATGTTGAGCACTCTGCGGTGAAATAGGGAGTACATCATATGGCACACTGGTGAGACAATCGGATGTGCGATAATCAAGACACAAGGTATAGCACGGGATTTTGGGTGTATGTTGAAATGCGCTTACATATTATGGAAATCGATGAGCGGCTGCGTGATCGGCTGATCATCTGTGATGTGCAGAGCGTCGGCCATCGTGATCACGACCGTCATGCCGTGATGGTCGCGAATCGCATTCGTGGGGAAAAAGGGATGCTTTAACTTCCCCGCAGTATCTCTAGACAAGTCTTGTGTATTCAGGAACGGGAGCTTTTTACCACCAGTTATTTTCGCGATGAGATCGTCCGGGGCTCCCATCGGCGTCTCAAACTCCGGCTCTACGCCATAATCGTGCGGGGCTATTTTCAAAACCACCGGATCAGACGGCGTGGAGCACTCCTCCTTGTTTGTCATTGCGTTTGCGGAGGCCAATTTTAGCCTATCACTACGACGAACACCGTCTTCCTCTCCCGATACCACGTCGGGCGTTGACGTGCCATCGCGTCCTCCTTGACGTTTCCTACCACGAGCTGCACGACCTGACATTTCCACGGCCTACACGCTCGCTATCCGCACTATTATTAAGGAAAATGCAGTTTAGGGTTGGGTGGGGTGCTAGAGGCCTAAAACGGTAGAAGCTTAGGATCCACTCCTGGCACTATCTAACCCTAACTTTGTGTTCTGCTTGACATATCGAGAGCAATATGTCTGCCGTATGGCGTGGTTAAATGGTGCAGTGGTTTGGGTTCAAATCCGTACCTCTCGCACGATTACACAGTTATGCTTTTTCGTTTGCCGACGGTCGATGTAACGAGTGCCTTTTGCAATTTCGCACATTGTACGGAGGCACTAATAGTATTGGTTGCGCTGTAACCGTAGCCGGACTTTCGAAGAAAATCGAAGTTGAATTGCGCATGAATGTTCATGATGCGCAAGAGGGAAGACGAGCAGCGCATATGACGCTCAAATGCGCGAACCAATCACATGCGAGGTCAAAATTGACCGGTCAAATTTCAAACACAGTCAGATAAACACGAGTGCATATGATCGGTTATATGCACCGACCAATCAAAGGCTTCGAAATTGGCCGGGCTAATCCACGCGCAATCCCACCGGTCAAATCGCCGTGCTATGTGTCAGATTATAATGCATGTCTAGTCTGTAGTGGGGTACTCAAAAGTGAGTATAACCCTTTTAGGGCTTACTACTTGTATCCCCCTTCTTTCTAGTTTCATCATTCTCCTTCCACAATTCTCTCGACATTTTTCCTTACACCCTACACCCTCGAACTTCACCAAATCACCTAAGCTACTATGGCTCCTAAGCCAAACTCTCGCTAGTACTTTAACATGCTATCAGAGCTTAAAGCTCCTGGCCTGTGGGCCCACTTGCTTCCGCTGCCCTACTGTGTGTCGCGCGCCCCGTGGCGCCCGACATTCTATTTTCTTCCCGCCACGCGCTCGGAATGCGTGGCGGTTTTCTGCCCGCCGTGCGCCCCGAGGCGCGCGGCGGGTTCCTACCTCGTTGCGGCGTCTTGGGGGCCCGCGCACTGGCCCCGACCGTCGCCTCGTCGCGGCGTTTTGGGGGCCCGCACGCAGGCCCCTCCCGTCGCCTCGTCGCGGCACTTTCGGGGCCCGCAAGCCGGCCCCTCCCATTGCCTCGTCACGGCGCCTTAGGGGCCTGCGCGCGGTCCCCTCCCGTCGCCCGTCGAGGCACTTTCGGGGGCCTGCGCGGCTCCCTAGCACGTCGCCTGTCAGGGCACCCTGGGGGCCGCGCCCTTCCCCTCCCCTCCCTCCTAATTTCCGCTGCAGCAGCAGCCCCTGGAGCAGCCGCCCCAGCAGCAGCAGCACCTGGAGCAGCCGCCCCAGCAGCAGCAGCCCCTGGAGCAGCCGCCCCAGCAGCTGCAGCCCCTGGAGCAGCCGCCCCAGCAGCAGCAGCCCCTGGAGCAGCCGCCCCAGCAGCAGCAGCCCCTGGAGCAGCCGCCCCAGCAGCAGCCGCCCCAGCAGGAGCAGCCCCAGCAGCAGCAGCCCCTGGAGCAGCCGCCCCAGCAGCAGCAGCCCCTGGAGCAGCCGCCCCAGCAGCAGCAGCCCCTGGAGCAGCCGCCCCAGCAGCAGCAGCCCATGGAGCAGCCGCCCCAACAGCAGCCGCCCCAGCAGGAGCAGCCCCAGCAGCAGCAGCCCCTGGAGCAGCCGCCCCAGCAGCAGCAGCCCCTGGAGCAGCCGCCCCAGCAGCAGCCCCTGGAGCAGCCGCCCCAGCAGCAGCAGCCCCTGGAGCAGCCGCCCCAGCAGCAGCCGCCCCAGCAGGAGCAGCCCCAGCAGCAGCAGCCCCTGGAGCAGCCGCCCCAGCAGCAGCAGCCCCTGGAGCAGCCGCCCCAGCAGCAGCCCCTGGAGCAGCCGCCCCAGCAGCAGCAGCCCCTGGAGCAGCCGCCCCAGCAGCAGCAGCCCCTGGAGCAGCCGCCCCAGCAGCAGCCGCCCCTGGCCCCTGCAGCAGCCGCTCCTGGACCCGGTGCAGCCGTGGGGGGGTGGGTGTGGGGGTGTCGGTTGTGCGTGCCGTCCCCTCCTCCTCCTCCTCCTCCTTCGTCTCCCACTGCTGCAGCTATCGCTGAGGGGGGTGGATGTGTGGGAGTCTGGGGTTTAGGGTTTAAGGGGGTGCTGTGGGTGTAGGGCTAGGGTTTGAGCAGGGGGTGTGTGAGAGGGGCGTTGGGCAGCTGGGGGAGGTTAAGTGGAGGCAGCAGTCTTGTCGTCAACAGCACCAGCAGTCCGGAGGCTACAATCTCCGGTAGTCGCCAGTCGCCTGTGGGTCAGTTGCTCG